TAACAATCTGCTCTATCGCATGGTATAATTCGATTTTACGCTGGACTTTTATTTTGCCAGATAAATTGAAAAATATCCTAAAAATTGCTGCCAAATCGGGGTCCCTCCGCGTTCAATGATCGTTTAAACATACATAAACGTTTATAATGTATTAAAGATAGGTATCGTTGTACTCAGGAATGTCTACAAAATCTTTTAGTGTAAATAGAATTTCAATATCTTTTACAATTACATCAGAAAATTTGTTTAAATCTGAAAAATATTTTCTTTTTCAAAATCAAATTTCTGAAAAACTGTACGTACAGGAGCAAAACGGTTTGCAAATTCGTAATCAGTGTACAAAACGCTATAAGAACCACCTAGTGAGAATCGGAACACAAAAAAAGGTTGAAATTTATTGGACAGTGTAATTAACCCCTTTGCGTCATAAATAAAAAATTAATTCTAAACTACATGACCTACGTAACTGTTGAAATTTTACATTACAGAAAGAGGAACGGCTGCCGGAACTACCGGGGAAGATGGCCACGAAACGGCAGAAGAGGAGGTGGTAGGGGGCGAGGCAATAATTTTTATATTAACATTGCATAAAGCAAATAAGAACATTTTAAATTAATCATTGTTAGTATGTATAATCTCCCTTCCTATTTTAGTTAGTATGTATTTTAGTTTTATTTAGTTATGTAAGTTACCTTTTCATATATACATGCATAGATAATCCAAATTAACATTCATTTTTCACACGAAATTAATGCCTTTTTGTTTTTTGTTTTGACTCAACCTTTTTATTGTTCGTTACGTCACTTCCGCTCTCAACACTTTTTTGTTATATTCAGAAACTATTGAAGAAGTAAATCAATGCAGCAGCTGCAGCATCAGCAAGAGCAGCGGGAGCGGGAGCGACAAGAGCAGGAGCGGCAACAGCAGATCCTGCACTACCAAATGCAGGTGCTGCAGCAACAGCTACAACAGAAGCAACAGCTAGCAACTACCTCCAGCAACAATGGACAAGAGGAGGAGGATGACACGAAGCCGCAACGCAGTAAATATCAGAGATCCCATCAAACAAATAACAAGATGGCGCCCGTTCCGCGGAAGGTGGCCGCGGGGAGGAAGAAAAGGCGGTGGACGACAACATACATATTTTCTTTCTTTTGCATAAAAGAAAAGAAAAATAAAAAAAATAAAAAAAATATTATTCAGATTGGTCTCATTTATTTGTATTTAGCCATCCAAATTTCATCAATTAATATATTGTTCATTCGTTGCTATAAATAATAACAAAATCATACGGTTGTTAATGGAGGAGCGATCGGTAATAAGAACATTTACCTTACCTTCTTTTTTCTTTACGTGGACGCTACATTTTTTTGCGGGGATCTGAGCGTCGCCTCAGTTTTACTTTCACTCGCAAATACTAAAAACATCCTTCTGCGCCAGTGAATAAAATCAAAGTTTAAATTATATGGAATTTGTTATCTTTAATAACTATGGTTATTGCAATTAACCAATAAGAACAATAAATCACCTTATGATATCCTACCAATTCTGCTGATCCCACTAAAACGTGTGAAATAAAATAAATTTTATCAAAAAAATACAACCGACTTCGAGATGCAGTAAAAAGAGTATAAAATAATTTGTATTTCGTTTCTACAACTATGTTATAATTATTAATAAAACCTCTTGCTACGTTAAGAAAATGCACTAAAAAGTATAAAATATAAAATAATTATTAATTACCAAGTTCGCCAATCCGCGATCAAATCGTTATTGGCAGCATCATTTATTCGAGTATTTTTAATTTTGCGCCGCCTCCGAAAAGATTGTAATGTATTTAGTATACTATTTAACGATTAAATAGGTTTTATTATTAACAGTTCTGGAATGTTAGTATAAATGAAATAGAAATTATAACATTAGGAAGTAGAAAGTATTTCATACTATTTAGAAACCATTTTAAATTTAAAAACCATTTTTATTCCACTACCAATGCTTGTGTGGTATACGCTTCTTCTTCGAGCATACTTCTCACTGTTGTTTCGAGATTAGAAAAGAGCAAATATATTTCATTTCATCACATTTCCACTACAGTCGACAATACAGAGATTCATTACGCAGCGCGAAAGCTTTTCGTGATATATGACAACGTAAAATACCTTTTTCAGTTATAAAATTTATACGAATACAATTAAATAAATACCCACACAATTCAATTTATACAAATTTTATAACTCAAAAGAGCATGGATCTTAGGCATATAAATAATCGCCTATAACTTTTTAACTATTCAACTATAAACGAAATGGAAATCACTACAAACAACTAAAAACGATTCTGAACCAGTTGGAAAAGACGGATTTCAAAAATATTAATGTAGGAAATAAAAGAGGTACGCATTCCAGAATATTCTGGACTCTTCTGCCGACGGCAGGGGGGTCGCGGGGGGCCCAGGACGCGACCGATCAAAATATATGTAATCGACGAGCAGTTGACGACGGCGACGCATGGGGAGTAGATGTGCCCTGCGACGAAATCTGCGACGAACCCGTTTCATCCGTAATCCACCTAGTTTTACTGTGTAATGTTAATCTAAGTACATATAATTAATAAAACCTATATTAAAATTTGACGAAGTTGGCTGAGGCGTATAAATAATCACTTATAACTTTTAAACTATTCACTACAAACAAAAGGGAAATCACTACAAGCGACTCTGAATCACATGGAAAAGACGGACTTCAAAAATCTTGAAAATTGACGAAGTTGCCTCTTAGGCGGATAAACAATTGCTCATAACTTTTAAACTATTCAACTACAAACGATTCTCTATCACATGGAAAAAACCGATTTGAAATATCTCAATGTCGGGTGCGGGTCAATTTTTCAATTTTGTTTATTTATTAATTGATCCAACTACAAACGAAACCATTGTTACTACAATCAACTACAAACGAAATACTATCATTTTCCGAAAAAAAAGTTAATTTTTTAAAAGTCGGGTGCCAGGTTCACATAGCCCCAAGTTCTTCGCTGCCAGATGATGAGAAACATTGCATCTGCAATTAATATATAATACAAGAAAAAGAAACTTCGAGAAAATTAGTTGTTCGAGAAGAAAGAGCAGTTGTTAGAGAACTAAGAAAGAAACCAATAAGAAGTGGTCGAAACTCAACAGCATTCGTTGAAAAATGTTTTAATAAGCGAGCACGCACAGAAACCTGCTGAAGAATTCTAAAAAGGCATTCAGATGAAACCGTTTATAAATAAAATAAATCGTACGAAGCATTTATAATTTATTTTATTTTCAGTCACACGAACTGTGTATCCAATATTCACACCATTAAATCATTAGCAAATATTTAGTTCATTATGGAACCCTTTCGAAATCTTTGCCTGTAAAAGACAAATAAACAGCAGAAGTCAGACAAACTACATAACCACCGACATTTGTAGAACCTCAAATAATAATGGATTTCTCAAGGAAACTTATAGATGAAATCATTCACAATGAATATATGTGTGTATATAAAATAGGCATGACTAACTTCTTTCCCGCCAGAAATACACAGCTCCCACTATTAGTTAATCTAAAAGATTCAGAATGTTCATTACGTACTAACAAGAAATATCTAATTACCAGTAAATTGATTTGTTCGTTATACAAGTTTACGAGGATTTCAAAAGTTTTAATAGATTGAGTGAATAATTTATTGATTGCGCACATAATTGAAAAGGTACCAGTTATGTGATTAGTGAAACTGTATGTTGACGACATGTTTACCCATGGGTGAGTGTGTTGCTGATCATTTGTGTATCCATATGTTGTAAAATTAATCCAGTTGTCAAAGTGATTGGCAGCTTTTGTGAAACTGTGAACTGGATTTGACTGTGTTTGTAGTTAATTAATTTTGCGTTTCTATCGAGGGAAATAATTTCTATTAAAGTTGTTTTCCAATACTGCAGCCCAGTGACGAAATTTTAATTATCCAATAGGGGGATTAAGAATTTTTTTTTTCATACCTTAATATTATTATAATATTAAGTCGAATTTTCTGTATTTTTTGCTTATTACCCATTAAGTTATAAAAAACGTTTGAAAATATTCTGGTATATTTATTAGAAAAAGGGTTTTCAATATTTTCACCCTTTGGCTGCTGTGGACATACATGTGTGCGCTGGATCAGGATCTTCTCAGCTGTCAGCTGTTCCAAAGCGAAACAGGCGGTTCGAAAATTGATATTCTAATTTTCAATTGCTCATATATCTTGAGAATAAGGCCGCAGATTCTGCCGATGTGGCGTCGACGCACTTGTTCATGACCATGCTTCGAACGTGGTCAGTAGCCAACACTCTCACGTTTAGTACGCGCTCTAAAAGCTGGTTCAGACACGGCTAGTAGTTTAGTCGAGTGGCGAGTAGTTTAGTGTATGGACACTACAGTTTAGTCGAGTAGATCCATTTCATTGGATTTTTCTGGTCGAGTGGGCTTCCCCCACCACTAACTAGACTTCCGGACAGACCTGTCCGGACGCATTTCTTTAGTCAAGCGTACAAAGAATTTAAGATGTCGCGTTGGAGCGAGGACTTAACCTATAAATTCGTTTCTGAATTCCATAAAACAGGAAGCATTGCGGAATGTGAAATTAGACAAAAAATAAAAAACATTCGAAGTACATATTCGCAAGAAATAAAAAAAATCAGAATGCAATTTAGACAACGTTTATATTCCAAATATTAAATGGTTTTCCATACTGCACGATACTTTGAAAAATATTAACGTAGAAGTAGTAAGAAGCAGTGAATGTAATTTGGTAAGTATTTTTATTGTAATTACAAAATTATAAAATTTACAACAGATATTACATTATCATCCTTAATTGCCACGGGAAAGACCCTTCTCCTACAAAATAATCAGCAAGTCTCTCACGGAGATCTTGCGAACTCCGAGTTGGATGATTGGCTAACGTCCTACACAATAGAAATAATCCAAGCGGTGGTTACGAAGACCTCCAACTGCATTCAATTAATGCACCGGATTCGTAATTTTCAGCATCGACAGAATATACGTGTTGCGGTGCAGTTACTCGGAACCAATTGTATAACGTACAGCATGTTTTCACCATAATGCTTACTTTGTCTGGACAAAAAGACATTGGCTTTTCGAATATTCGAAATCTACTTGCTAATATCCCAAATGCATTTTTCACAACTCTTCTTGCACGCGACAGGCGATAATTAAATACTCGTTGCTTTAGAGTTAGTTGACAATCAGGGAAAGGCTTTAATAAGTATTCCTTCATTGGGAAAGCATTGTCGCCAACCAGAAAATGATTGTTTGGTAGCATGCCATTTTCTAATGCCTGATACATATTACAGTGGCGGAACACCCCTCCATCCGAAATCCTTCCATTGCATCCTACATCTATATACTTAAAACAGTAGTTATGGTCTGCAACAGCCATCAGAACAATGCTATTGCTCTGCTTGTAGTTGTAGTACAAACTTCCGCAATCAGCAGGTGCTTTAATAGCTACATGCTTTCCATCAATTGCTCTACAACATCCAGGGAAGTTCCATTCTTTTCGAAATCCATTCTCAATTCATTTCCACTCGTTTTCATTTGGGACCTGAAAAGTACAATAATCTGTATTTTTTGCAATGTTTTGGGTTGTATTTGGTTTAGCTATTGCACATTTCTGTTTGTTCTATATTATTTTGTTTAGCAATGTTGTGCTTTTTTAAATTAGCAATGCAGAATAAAAATGTTATGTTTCATATATGGGACTTTTTCAAATACCAACCACAAGCGTGGAAGGCACCACTGAAAGTGCAGCACAGCAATGCACTGCACATGATGATGTTACTACAACTCCTGCCAGAAAGAGAAAGAGGAAAGAGAGTATCAGGGACATTGTGGAGGAGCTGAAGAGTATAACAGAGGTGATTAATGCACCTGTAGAAGAAGATGAGTTTGAGGCATTTGGAAGGAATGTTGGATTACAATTAAAAAACATGCCAATGGAACAGGCGTTGAAAGCCCAAGAATATATTCAATCGTATTTAACAGAAACACGATTAGAGAACATTTCCTCTCGGAGGCAGACAAACCAAATGCAAGCAATATCTAATGATATTCTAAGCACTGCATTGTTGCGAACGTTTTATAATTATGAGAAGTAAATATTTTTCGTTATAATGAACAATTGAATTTATTTTATCACCTTAATAAAATCTTTTAGTGACTCAGAAACAGCTTCACATACTTCCGGAATAAATTCGGAAATGGTGGACTTTCCAAGTCTAAAGAGACGTTGCAGCGTCCTTAAACTGCATTTTTGTTGCCAAGAAATACAAGATTGTTTGCGATTTTATTTTCTAATATGTGTGTCCTTTCGCTGTATTTTTTCGGTGACATTTTCTAATAATATATGTATTGAATGATTCTTCGGTCATTCGAAGAGTATTAAAATATTCTGTTTTGTCTTCTACAGCCAACTCTTTGAAAAGAGAACTGGACATTCCCAATGAACTTCTTCGATTTATCCAGGGCCTAACCCAGACGCGTTCATTTGTCGCGTCTTTTTCAACTTCTTCTGCTACGACCTAAACAATGATAACAGTGAACAATTTCGTCGGTATCTCAGATTAAATATGATTTTAAGGTTAAATATCATTATAAATTATTACCTGAACAATTTTTTTGATGACACAGTTTAGTGCCGCACGATGGCGTTGCCTCTTCATTGCTCTCGCTGATATGTCTTGTACTTTCGATTTTCAAAGCTCAACTGTACTAGTCGGGACACTTTCCTATGCGCTAAACGGTGTAGTAGTAAGTAGCTACTCCCCACTCGACTAAATTACTAGCCGTGTCTGAACCAGCCTTAATTGGACAGAGTTTTTAGCGGCGCGGCCGCCCCTTCCCAGGCGGGCCGCGACCACCATTGCAATTATCGTGAATGTCTGTCTGTCCCGCTCAGTAGTGACCAAACGGTAAGAGGTATCGACTTGGGACCTTGACCATTGAACGCAGAAGGGTCAATAACCGGAAACAAGTCCGAATTTTCAGATCTCTAGGACCACTCCTTCCATCCGAAATCGGGAGTCAAAGTCTCCCCTATAAGTTACGCTATAGGTTATACTTTGATGCGTAACCGCTATGTCGCGCCGACTTAATTTAGTGCAAAGCACTAAATGTTTTTTCTTCTAGTTTTATTAATAATTCAAAAATCAAACCTTAATCAACATTTTGGCAAAGGAAAAAGTTGTTCATAATCACTTCAACAATCATCTCTTGAAGGAATTAACACTCTTTCTGGGACAGCCCGTATAAAAAAAGAATAATATATTTAAAAAAATCATTTTTAACAAAAAATACAACCGACTTCAAAATGCGCTAAAAAGTGGAAAATAACTTATACTTCATTTCTACAACAAAATGCACTGAAAAGTATGAAATAATTTCTGTTTCAGTTGCACCAATACTCAACAGCTATTAATAAAACCTATTTACTCGTTAAATAGTTCTATAGAGCAGTGTTTCCCAAAATGTGGTACGCGTACCTCTTGGGGGACGGGAAGAGTTTGGTGGGGCTGCGCGCTGAATGAATTTTATTTCACGTTTATTATTATTTTGTTTACGTACTGAACAAGGAAAAAATGAATATATTTTGTTATTAAAGAGAGGAACTCACAAGTGAATGGTAGAATTGCTCGTCCATACTATGTTTATTCGAAAGAGTATGAAACGAGGAATTTATGATGCAATTTTTGGGTGCCCTTGGCAACGGGTTCAAAAGTTATGGGATTTAAAAATTTTCATATTTTTAAGTGCAAATGATCACACAAATGCAAATTGCATCTTACTTGCAATTTTCCCTGAAACTCATCTTAATTTATTAGTAAACATCATCTAATCATCTCAAATTCATGCCTTTGTCACTTTTACACTTAATTTTCACTTCATATTTCGATTTCTCATGTTTTCTAATCATTTGCACTTAAAAATATGAAAATTTCAAAGTCCCATAACTTTTGAATCCGTTGCCAATGGCACCCAAAAATTGCACCATAAACTCCTCGTTTCATGCTCTTTTGAATAAACATAGTCTGGACCAGCAACTCTACCATCCACTTTTGACCATTCCATTGTCAGTGATACGAAAATTATAGAAGAGGTACACAGATGTCGAAAGTTTGAGAAACACTGCTTTAGAGAGATGAAAAGTTGACGAGGTTAAGGATTGCGGGTACGATTGGTCGTCGTCGATAAGTCACACCTCATACACACGCATTCTAGTCCGTCGCGCGCTATTGGCCGATGCGATCACACATACTTATTAGTCGCGTCGCCTGACAAAGACGCTTCGAGACAAAGTGAGAGGATACGACGCGCGACGTCTGCGTTGCGGTGAATTTTAAACTATGGCCGTAGGCTCGTATTATAGAGTTCTGTCTACAATAGTACTGTCTCCCTCGGAAATACGGAATTGTTACGTCTATGTAAGAGCGTGCCACTAAAGTCAAATGGTGCGGATTACGCGAGGATCAAACGTGGGGACAGGGCGGAGCGTGCGAAGTGCTCCCTTTGCCCCGGTGTCGTCCCGCTCTTCAACTTTTCATCTCTGCATAGTATACTAAATACATTTCAACGTTTTCGGAGGTGGCGCAAAATTTAAAATACCAGAATAAACGATGCTGCCAATAACCATTTGATTGCGGTATGGCACACTTGGTAATTAATAAATCGTAAGAAAAAATATGAAACGTTATAAACACGACTGATAACATCTGTAATTGTAACGATTGCATCAGAAGTTGGCAACATTTCTGATGTACATGAAATTGAATCGTCTTCATTAGTATGTGAAAGCCATGGACCCAAGAACCTATGAACGGAGCCCTATATTCGGCGCGGGGGTTGCCAATTTGCAGCAGGGGGTGGGGGGACTGCTTTTTCTACAATATGCCGCGATCGAGTCTTTCCGCCGCATACTCGATGATTCCAGATAGAACCGCACATTCTATACGCACTATACGGACTCCGCACCGTGTTGTCGAATTATACAATAGGAAAGAGACAGATACACAGGCTTCGCCTATATTCGGCAACTCAAAGTTTGACAATCGAGACAAGTTGAAGAAAATTTTTTAATTTTGCGCCGCAAAAATTATTTTCTGGAGGGAAAGAAGTTAGCTATGCCTGTTTTAATGGTATATTCATTGTAAATGGGTTTATTTAGAAGTTTCCTTTGGGAATACGTTATTTGAAGTTTTACAAATATTGGTGGTGGTTTTGGTAACATAGTTTATCTTCCATGGACAGAATTTCGAATGGATTCAATAATGGACTGTTTGCTAACCATTTAATGATGTGACTGAAAATAAAATAAATTATAAACGCTTCATACGAGTTATTTTATTTATAAACGATTTCATCTGAATAACTTTATCATTAAAATCATTTCTCTTTAAAATTCTCCAGCAGGTTTCTGCATGTGCCTGTGTATTACGACATTTTTCAAAAAATGCTATTGAGTTTCGACCACTGATTGTTGGCTTCTTCTTTAGTTCTCTAACAGCTCGAATAATAATCAACTTTCTCAGGGCTTGTTTTTGTTGTATATTAATTCCGGATTAATTTGATGCAATGTTTTTTATTATATAGGTATTGTTTTGTTGATTTCCTTTTACTTATTAAATTTGAAATTTGTAAGCAAGATTTTCATTCGATATGTCAAGATACATTTATCCTGTATATTTCCCCCGAAAGCATTTTGTGTGTATTAGTATTTCTCCCCTTCAAAACCGATCTTTAAACGCTCTCATGCGATTTTTCGTTGCTGAGATGCACTAGCTTGAATTTACACGAATTTTAATGCATAGACAGTAAGATATTATATCATAGAGGTAGAAGTAAAAGTTTATTCTTCTGAAATCTATAGAGGTCTATATCCAGCAAAGCTGAGAAAAATTCAAAGAAAAAGTATTTCAAATACTATTTAAATATTAAACGCTACAAAGCTGAAATAAAATGATATTTTAAATAGGAAGTAAAATTTTGTGAGATTGGACATGAGAGGGAGCTGAAGAAGACGCTGAGCGCGAGCGTCAGTTGTACGCAATGGAAGAAAAGCTAAGAGTGTAATGATCGAGTGTTCTAACAATAAGAGCGAAACTTTCATATTATGTTATATCGTTTTATATCCTAAATAAATACATTCATTATCATTAGACCCGGCGTCCTGTCTGCCCACAAATTTTAGCAAATGAAATAATCTTATTTTGCACCTCAAATTATTAAAAATTTAAGTTAATTTATTTGCTAAAATTTCGTTTCATATTTGAAACATTATTTTTTTTGAACTTTGTAGCTTTTAATATTCTGAATACGTTTCACAATGATATTGAATTGGGAAATGAAATAGTATTGTTATTATTATCATAAACAATATCATTTATAATTATCATTTTTAGCAATAATATTTGAATGTCATTATAATTAAAATATCTGTATAATATGAAAATAAAGTATTTTATTCCTTAGAATAAGTTTTTGAAATGGTATTTGAAAGTAGTATTTTAAAAACATTGTTTAAGAAGTAGAATACATACAGGTATTTTATTTTCTCAGTCACAGGTATGGTTTGAAATATGATAAATTATTTACTATTTACCATTTCAAATAATGTTTCATCCAACACTGATGTCCAGTCAGTCATAAAAGACTGTAATATAATATTTTATTTGTAATTATTGTTTTATTTTTGGACTAATATACGCCTCGTTGCGGGAGGACGATTTTCACTGCGAGTGACTGTACCTATTTACACCCAAAACTGGATTAAGATTTCTAGAGCCCGGTGCTTTCAACCATCGAGGATCCCCTTGGTTGATAAACTTTGTTAAAAAATTAAAGTTTATTCTAAATAAAATTGAATAAAATTAAATTAAAATTATATAAAACATCACCCATATTGGGAAAGAAATATTCGTTTTTCACTATTCTGAAGCGTTCCACAAGTGTAAGTCTATTCATAACTAGTATAATAATACTAAAAAATTAAGAACAGAGAATATGTAATAAAAATTGCTTTTATCGTTATTCTTTTTCAAAGCTCTATCAAAGCGTAAAAACACCTTATATCTCACGCAGTTATTTTTGCCATCTGAATATTTTTGTAAAGCATGCATATACCGGTGTTGTTTTTGTACCAAATTTATTCAAGACGAATATAGAAATGTGTATAAGCTTTTAATAATCGACTGAGTTAAATAAAGTTTTTTTCCAAATTTTTTACTCGACAATTACTTATCATTAAGCGTGCATATGCATAAAAATACCAACCCATACAAAATAATTATAACTTTTCACATGTATTTTTGAATTTATGTAAGACTTAACAGATATATAAATCTCGCTGCACAAACTAATAAAAATCAATACATTGCTCCTCGATATTGCTTAAACTTTTTGAATTATAAGCATCGAAAGTTTAGAACCAACTTTCTTACAAAACTCATAACTTGAACAGCATTATAGATATCGACGTGATTCGGCCGACATTTTGTATATGAAATTTTTTAGCTCAAGTAAAGAAATATTACATATAATAATGCAACTTTGAAATTGTTGTAGACTTCTTTGGTAGATAAATCAGAAGAATCGACAATTGTCAATTTTTATCGGCGAAATAATGTATTTTGTTCATTATTAACCCTTGGACTACGAATGATAGGTACTGTTGAGAGATCGTAAGTTGCCGTCCAATCAAATACCTCCAGTAACACGTACTATGTTTATTGGCCGACGTCCTTACATCCGCAAATCTATCGCGTGACGAACGTCGTTAAGGACAAACATTGGAAACAAAATGGGATGAAGCGATAGCGAGCGACGATTCGGACGCATTGACGTAGACGTAGATTCGGGGTTTACATTATTAAGAAAACAAGAGAGCTTTACACTTTCTATAATGTAATTTCTATAAATTTTTCATAATAACAACTGTTATCAAGAATAAGTATTATAAAAAAATCCATTAATGTCTAGAAAAAATCGCATATTTATATAATTAAATGTACCCCTGCGAATATGGAAATTTTATGCCTATGCAATGTAACCGCTCACTTCTCAAGTTTGAAAATGTACATATCTCTGTTTAATACATCAAAATCTTTAAATCTTGTTTCAAATTGTTTCTGAATCTCTACTAGTATTGACGCGCATAGTACAAAGGATGCAACTGTATATTGTTCAGCGATCTCTTTACATGCTGGAAAACGGTACAATTCGTTTGTTCCTAATTCTATAATAAATAATTTTAATTGATTTCGAAACTCGTTAATATGGCCAACTAAATGGGATATATTTTGATTTTCTTTTTGTAAATTCATATTTAAAAAGTTAAGATGTTGTGTAACATCTCTTAAAAATGTGACATCTCTAAATTTTTCTTTAATATCCGTTGTATTTTTTTGAACCGCATTTTTCAGAAATTCTGGAATTACATTTCTTAGAGTGAAAAACCGTTGTAAACATTTTCCAGCACTCAACCAACGTACGTCGGTATGCAGAGGTAAATCTCCATATGCCGCATTAATATCTTCCAAGAAATTTCGAAATGTTTTATGAGACAGTGATTTATTTCTCCCTCTAATTAAATTTGTAATTTCTGTTACAATTTTCATTGTTGTGCTTAGCATTAAAGTTTTACCACATAACGGTTCCTGATGTATTATGCAGTGAAATGTTGCACAATTAATTCCTTTCTTTTTTAATATCCTCTAAACCCATTTTTTTGTCCGACCATTGATTTTACACCATCTGTAACAATAACTGTACACTTTTCAAAGCCACCATATTTCTCCATTTCTGTATACACTGCGTTAAAAATATCTATTCCCCTCGACGTCGAATATAAAAGAATTAATGCCAAAAGTTCTTCGTGAATTGAAAAATCATCATTCACAAAACGTACAAAAATTAATAACTGACTTACCTCGGTGATATCTGTACTCTCATTCAAACAGAATGAATAATACCTACAATTATTTATTAGGGATTGTAATTTCTCTTCCATGTGGTTACTAATTTCAACTATACATTCGGAAATCGTTTTCCGCGATAGTGGCACTTGCTCAAAATTTTTCACTGCATTTTCATTCCCAAAGGCTTTAGCCTTTTTTTATTAATTCGCCGTCTGATAAACATTTTTTTGCACGTGCAATTTCTAGTGCAACAGAATAAGACGCCGTGAGACTCTGCTGTTGAGACTTGGAGGTAGAAGAAGAAGGATCTGTTTTATTATTAGTTATTTTTCTTTTATACTTTAACTTTAAATCAGTTACTAGTTGTTCTCGACATTGTGCAGAATATGATTCGTACATCTTTGCATGATACGTATTATAATGTCGCATAATGTTACCTTTCTTAATATTTTTAAGTATTTTATAGCAAATTAAGCATAAAGATTCTCCTCTAAGTTCAATAAAAAAAAAATCTGTCTCCCAATTCATTTTAAATTGTCGATTTTCCTCGCGAATTGTTCTTTTTGACATAATGAAAGTGATGTGAAGGTTCTACGATTAATGGAATTCTTTGTTGTGAATTTCATGGAATGCACGATGCAAGCTGTTCAATTGACTGAACAGCTCCTCGTATATATAAACTTCCAGTTTCCCCTATTTCTTCCACACTCCGCCTGCGCATGGTGGGAGGCGCGGAGAAATAGAGAAGGAAATTGCATCTGGTTCACGAGCCGCAAGTTGCCCAGGCCTGGTCTAGACCAGGCCTATCTAACTGCTAGAAGCAAAAGAGCCACTGCTCCCACACTTACCGCTTCAAACTTCTCCCACAATCCAGTAGTGTCAGTAGTGGGGCAGCGGTTTCTAGCAGCTAGGACTAGGAATACGCATCAAATATTGGAAGAGTCAGTAAACCAACTGAAAGAGTGGGGGGGGCCGAGCGTGAGCTGCGTGGTGGGAGAAGGAGAGTGGCCCGTGGGCCGCAGGCTAGACAGGACTGGTCCAGACTCTAGAGCGGGGCTCTTTTCGGCTAGTTTTCAAAGGCTACGCCCCATTCCTCCCGCCGCTCGCCGTACCCTGCGCGAGGGCCATAGTCCTCGAGGCACCTCAGGCGCGTGCGGTAGGAACTTCTCAGGGCGCATTGAGGCTACACACGTATCAATAGGTTTCCACATCACGCATGGGGTACGATTCATATGACACGCGCCTGAGGTGCCTCGAGCGGTGGGAGAAAAGGGCCGTAGCCTCTGAAAACTGGCCGAAAAGAGCAGTTAATTTCGAGCCCTGCTCTAGAGCGATGAATTAGCTGTTCATTAACAAAAAAAATCAATTTCCTCATATCAATGTTTTTCGAATGTATTTAGGTAATTATTTAGATTATGGACGGCACCTCCGATTTCGATGATTTTTATTAAATATGTTGTAGAAATCAACATTTTGAACAACTTTTTCCTATACATATAACCGCCTCTCGGCCTTAGTTTTCGAGATATTTTCGAAAAATTACCTGTATTTAGCTTCTCAAATGTCTACTACCTTCGAAAATGGTGACTTTAATGGAATTTATTAAAAATTATGATTAGAACGAGCGTTTAAAGATGAACATTTCGTAAACACCATTTTTCACCGAACTTTTCTTTTTTTCTTCTTATTGATACTCTACAAAATCTATTTAATATTGTGTGTCCATTTTGATTATAAATGAAGAGTATTTGTCTAAAATGAGAATGCACCTTGAGTTAACGTTTCACGTAAAACATAGTTTTTTCCATTTTTCCATTGCCATATCCATCATTTCTGATATTTAATTATAATATTGCCACAATGTAAGATAATAAATCCTATTATCAAAAAAATTACGGATTAGTCTGTTCATTTCAAACAGCTAAATTTCAGTTCTGGACCAGTGTGCAGTTCTGGTAGTGGGATCATTTTGATGCAATATAATTTGCACACCTTTTGCAAAATTTATTGTTTTTATCGTTTCTTTTTTTTTTTTAAACACAGCAGTAAATATGTAATATTATTTATATCAATTTATTTATATAGAATTATTCGATAAATTTAGGAAAATAAAGGAAAAATAAAGGAATATAAAAAATACATAATGAAAATCGATAGAAGAAGGTAGGCATGATGGGAATGCTAGAACAATATTGATTTGGACTATTATATTTGTTGAAATTGTGTCTATAAAAAAATATGGTAATTATTTAGAAGTTTGCCCTCCTCACCGATTTTCATGACCTTGAAATATGTTGTCAAGGTCATCATTCTAAACAAATTTTCCCTATACATGTTACCGCCGCTCGGCCTTAGTTTCCGAGATATTTGCAAAAATCTTTAGTTAAACTTATTGTTAGATTACGAGTACACTGTATTCTGGGGAAAATGGAGACTGAATGGTGATTGAAAGAGTGATTGAAGTGGTTTAAGGTTAGGGTTAGGGTTTTGTTTTTGATTTTTTCACGTTTTAATTACTCTTTCTTTCACCTTTTATATATTGTATACCTGTTATTCATTTTGTGTTTCGTCAAAAATCGGAAACATTTCGGCCATCATGTCGAAAAATGCCATTATACGCTCATTAACATCATGTTGACGTCGGAATAAAAACTCAGCTATATGTATATCCCACGTAATGAGACGTACGAGTTCCATAACGAGGAATATTAGCTCTCATATCACGCCATGTACGCTCTAAACCTAAACCTAATTTAAACCTGACCTAATCCTAACCCTAACCTCAAACCACTTCAATCACTTTTTCAATCACCATTCAGTCTCCATTTTTCCCGGAATACAGTGTACAGTGCACATATGAGATGTTGCGGAGGTTAACTAACAAAGTAGTGACTCCTCGGTCTGGCCCGCCTAGTCCCCACGTCGTCACGCACCCACACCACTTGACTTTAACTGACACGCTGTTGCATAGGCGTACCATTTCCGTATTTCTTCTTGCATGCTTTTTCAGGAATGAGAAATGAGATGTTGCGCGTATGATTGGTTGGAGTTTATGAGTCACGCCTAATGCACACGCACCACGGAATTAAATGTATTGTTAATAGATTGCATTTAGCGTATTAATATTAAGCGTAACTATTATCTGTCCGTATTAAAAATAATTGTTAATAAATAGTTGTTGATGAATATAGTGAATGAGTCTGTTAATAACGATTTGAAATTACCCAGAAAATCCATAAAATGGAAAGTGAAGTTGTAAAATAGTGACAGATGTAGTAGTTTGTAAAATATTTTTTCCGATGTAAAATTTATATGGGTCCTGAAGACAGTCCTGAAACCTAACCATGTGGGCTAATTTGTCAGGATGATTGGCAACAAGGAGTGCTGAAGTCTTAAACGTTTCTATTCAATCGCGAAAAACTGACCGTATACCTGGAAATTTTATGATAACAATTAAACAGCTTTTAATATTGCAACGAGGTTTTTCCAATGTTTTTTCCGCTGACCAGCAGTCTGTTCGGAGAAATCCACCAGTGCACATCGAGCGAATATATCCAAAACGTTTTTAGTTATTTAATTTATATTTTTTGTCTATTATACTAGTGTAGTGTTTTACAATTTAGTTTAGTTTAGTTTTGATTAGTTTACTTAAGTATTTTGTTCTTAACTTTAGTTCATTTTTCACTTTTTTAACTTTTTTTACTTATAGTGTTTGTGTTAGTAGAATAGTGTTAGCGTTAGTGTTTTTTATAGTTTCTACTTATTATTACTTTATTATTATTTTCCATTATTAAATTAAATATTTAAAAACGACATGGAAGCTCGTAAGAAAGGCCAAACTATTCGTAGCAGGGCCCGAAATATGATACGGCGTGTGATTAGAAAGTGTGACGAGGAATGTATATAATAATGGACAGTATCTGTACGCAGTGCACGGATTACACGGGTGTATCGGTAGCTTCGATATCGCGGATCCGCAAAGAAGCTGCGCAATCCGCAGAGGACCAACTTTTATTATCTCCCGGCAAGAAGCGACCACAGAGAGAAGATAAAAAATTTCACTGCTCAGAAGAGAACAGAGTTGTAATTCGCAGAATTATTGAAGAATTTTACACGGAAAAAGAAATTGTGCCCAGTGCTCCGAAATTGTTGGCTGCGATTCGAGAGAAGATACACTTTCCTTGGAAAGTGGACACGCTCTACAAATTATTGAAAAATATGGGATATAGGTGGAAAAAAAGCAACAATATAAGGAAAGTGCTGATAGAGCGACCGGCTATTGTGGCGTAGAGAGGAAAATATTTAAAAGCTATACAATTTTATCGCACTTAAAATAGAAATATTATCTATATTGATGAAACATGGGTGGATAATACCCTTTGCTTTGGACAGTGCTGGAAGAGCGAAGAAATGCTTGGCGTAATAAAAAATAATAATTCGTCGCATCGATTTATTATTGTACCATGCGGGTGGAGCATCAGGTTTTGTGGAAGGTGCTAAACTAATATTCAAAGCGCGCAGTGAAAGTGGAGATTACCACGGCCAGATGAATGCGGATAATTTCGAAAGGTATGTTAACGTGACACGTTTGATATGACATCCTATTTGCTTCTGATACTTTTTCCTAATACAAACATTTTTAACAGGTGGATCCAGGAAAAAGTTCTGCCGAACATTCCAGAAAATACCGTCATTGTCATGGACAATGTATCCTACCATTCGGTGCAAATAAATAAGCCCCCAACAAAATATGCCACGAAAACGGCAATGCTGAATTGGCTAATTAAAAATAACATCCCTTGCAACGACCAGATGCGACGATACGAATTGCACGAACTAATAGAGAAAAACAAACCACAAAATAAAATATTTAAAATAGATGAAATTATAAAAGCACATGGTCACACCACGTTACGACTACCACCATATACATATGTGCGAGTTAAACCCCATCGAATTGATTTCGGCTCAAATTAAACGCCAGGTACGAGAAAAGAATCCTGCAAAAATGTTGCGATCATGTTGAAAAATTGGAAAAAAGATAATATAATAGATCGAAAATCGGTGAGGAGGACAAACTTCTAAATAATTACCATAAATATTAAGTATACTATATAGTGTTAACATCTGTTTATCAGAATATGTTAACATAAGCTTTCCAAACTTAACAAAAGATGCAAAAATATATTTCTGAACATAGTGACAATGTCCCGTTTTGTTCTATGTAAGTACAGACGCACGCTCCTATTTAATTCTATCGCTCGATAGAGAGAGCTGCATCGAAAAAGCATTAGTATTTTAGTACGCAAGACGTCCAAATTCTGAAACTAAAAACGAATTAAAGGAAAGACCGATTTTTTATTTGAACAATGTGAAACACTATTTAACATGTTCCTTCCCATACGACTTGATGGCGTCAAGAGTAATTTTGAGGCATCATCGTGTGCGAACTCTTAAATAGCAAAAATATAGCAATATTCTTAATTTCCTTCATGCGTATAAATATCAGTATCCATATCATCAACTATTTAAAACTGTGTTTAATCAATACAAAAATCCATTCTTTTTATGGTTAAAAGGATACAAACAGACATGTATTAAAAACAGTTGCTAACTGTAATTGATTTTTCCAAAGCACGGCGCGCAACAACTCGCAGGCAGCTCATCGACGGCAATAAAATTTGATAACTTTGACATTTCAGTAGCTTCTATCATGAGATTTACGGGGTACTGAAAAGACCCTTCCTAGATGCTACAGACAAAATTGCAGGCCACTACGATATCCGTCTTGAGGTGATTTATCACTTTAAAAATGAGAAATGTTATTTATGGCAAACTACAAGTTGCATTGTCGTGTGTAACATTTTTTAAATTGAACTCCAAAATTTCCATGATTTATATGGTATACGGGGTGTAACATTATTAGTAAACATTGGTTGAAAATTTAAGCATTTTCGAGATATTATCATCATGATAACTTACTGGCTTTTACATATCGCATGCGATGTTTTTTCCAATGTTTATAAGCCGCTTTTCCAATATTCTCATTCAATTTCCATACATACTTCATAACAGAAAATTTGATCGGTGTGGAAATAGAAGGAGGAGACGTAGAACGTCACCTATAAATATGGAAAAGCCAGTAGTAAATCTATTTATAATAATTATAATTTATTTACTTATATACGTGCTTTTGTCGTTTTAAAAAATTACAATTTGTTGAAATCGTGAAAAAAAATAGTGAAGGGTAGTTTATGAGTCTATAATGAAAATTTAAAATATGTCTTTCGTAGATTCAAATAAGTTATGTGCATGCTGAAAATTTCATCGAGATCGGTCAATGCAATTAAAAGTTATAGGTAATTAAAATTTCCGAAAATCGCGACTTCACCTAAAATCATAACTCATAACTAAAACCATAAAAGTTGATCTATCACATAATCTGAAGAAAAAAAATATATGGTTCCATGTAAAAAACAAAACTTGACCATCATATCTCTTAAACTAATAATGCAAAAGATTTTTCGGTCAACTTGTAGATAAGGTACTCCACCTCCGATTTTGATGATTTTTAAATATGTTGTAAAATTCGTCATTTTAAGCAACTTTTTTACTCTAAGCTATATGTCGGACTCGATTAGTTTGCGAGATATTCGCGAAAGAATTTTGTTACTACTGCAGCGAAATCTGCCTACCGTTTTTGTGAGCAACAGCGTGTGGTCCGGTTCCTAATCATACAACGGGTGAGCTGAAAAATCAAATTATAACATTTGACTCGCGTGGTCGACCGCCCAAAGGCGGCCGGAATATTAATATTGTTAGAATAGGCGCGGTTTATGGCATGGCGAGTTTAGAAATAGGTATTTTTTGCATTCGATAGTTTTCCCTTGCCATATGCTTGCCAGAGGTTTAACGGTACCTGGCAGAGCTCAGAATATTTAGAAAGGCCATGCCATAAATCGCACAGACCCGAAGGGTAACTCTGCCGCGACGACAAAAGGGGCACGTTGACCTAGAGGAACCACGTGCGATTTCTGGAAAACCCAGAACAACTTGCATTTCCTTCCCCGTACGAAGGGCACATTCCCCTTCCAGGATCTGCCACGCCAAGGGCGTACTGGAAGGGAAGAACTGTGCCTATATAATCGACGTCAAGTGGCTCGAAGGCAGATTTTCTTAGACAGAGCACAGTACATATAGAACGTAGACATAGATACACAGAATTTCCTCAAGTGTAACAAATTTCAATCTACACATTGTAACACACACACACACACACCACCATTAATTACGATTAAATAGTTCAAAATACTATCGACATAATTATTATCGGTCCCAAGCCGATCCAACTTGGGTGGTCCTTCCACAATCCATAGACGGCACTCTGTGCAAATACTCAGGATCTATCAACGTCCTAACAAATATAATCTGACCTAACCTAACCTACACGTATAAGTAACAGAAAAATAAAATATTGTTACTTACATGTTCAGATTGGGTTAGGTTATGCTATATTAATATTCCGGCCGCCACGCAAGTCCGATATCAAAATTGTTGAAATTAGTTAAATTTAATTTTAAGCTTACGCGTTATATGAATGGTAATCGGGCCATGTGGTAGTGTTGACAGAAACACTAGAGCAGGCCTGTCCAAGTAGGGGAATTTACTCCTGGAACACATGTTTCGGATCCCCTTCCAACGCTGCTCCTTCAAGCTCCATCTCTCCGACGAGACAGTACCGCCGCTAGGAAAGACGGAGAGACGGTAGTCGGAACCGTTCCATCTTAGTTGAAAGAGCAGCGTTGGAAGGGAACTCAAAACATGTGTTTCAGGAGTGGATTCCCCTACTTGGACAGGCCTGCACTAGAGAAACGAGGGTCGCTTACCGACGCACACACAGCCGCGGACATATACGTGCAGGAGAAATTCAATGTAATACAGTGTGATTCTCTCGCTACGCAAGACAAAAGCCGTGCCGCACAATCGAACCCTGCTGTTTTTATGGGTAAAGAGACCCAGGGGCCATATCGCCGGACCCAAAACTGCTCTGTGTGTGTTTATGGCTGAGACGACAACAAGAAACGGAACAGCAGGGGTTCCATTGTGCGGCACGGCTTTTGTCTTGCGTAGCGAGAGAATCACCCTGTAGTACTCATAGCTTTTCGCGAATTTCTCGCTAACTAATCGAGTCTGACATATAGCTTAGAGGAAAACGAATGTGGCCGTCAATACCATAATTATGACCTCGAGCCATAATGCGTAAATTTACAGTTTAATTAGAATTGTTTTTAATAATTTTATGGTACAATTGAAAATAAAAAAATATTTGTTAAAAACTACGTTTTTAAGACGGACTAAAAAGTATAAAATAATTTTTCCTAGCCCCATGTTGATAGTCCTGAAAATTTGTGATTGTACATTTTTAAGAGCTATGAAAATGTAAGATTTAAAACGAAAAACGTGGGGCGCATGCAATAGATAATTGATGCATGAATAGTTCACCTAAGTCACTAACAATTTCATTGCACCGCAAATGATATGAACTGTTGTGTAAGTTTTCTCAATGGCAGCTACTCTCTACACTCCTTACTATTATCTTGCGCCCCACGTTTGTCGTTTTAAATCTTACAAGTATTTTCATATGTAGCTCATAAAAATTCACAATCACAAATTTTCAGGACTATCTGTACGCAGCTAGGAAAAATTATTTTATACTTAAAATTTAAATAATTGTTTCTGCTTTTTATTTTTATTTTATTTTTATTTTGTATTCTTTTCAATTAAAGCCCACTAAAAAATTATCGCAAACTAGTACAGTTGTCCCTGCATTGTCTAGAAATGCGTCGAATAATAAAACAAATGAATCGGGCGACGCCGATGTAATCATTCTTGATCGAGCCTCTAACGAATCAAGTCTACAAATTTCAGCCTAGCCGAACCTAATAAACAGACAGACAAGGAAGCGAGTTGATAAAAACCGGTTAATAATAAAACGGTCAATATTAGAGAAATGATTTTTATTACTGTAGATAAATACGGCGAGATTGTCTTTTGTTGCGAACGTTCTCGTACGCATGATCAACGCGAAATTTCGCTGGAGATCCGCAACAATACTAATAATAATTATTTTGAAAACATGTGAATGTGAGAGAAGTAGAGTAGAGTAGCCCGAGAGATGGTAGTAGGGGGAAAGCGCCAAGGAGAGCTTCGCTCGAAAAAAGTTGCTTAAAATATCGAATTTTACAACATATTAAAAATCATCAAAATCGGAGGGGGAGTACCTCATCTACAATTTTCATATCAACAATATTTTGTATCATTAATAGTTACGGAATAACGGCTCTGTCACACTTGGGCTGGGACACCCTGTATGTATACGTTTAGTTTAGGTTAAGGTAATTTCTGATAGGGTCGCGATGACGCGTCGAAGGCTTGTAGGCCTGGCGAAGCGAGCAGTGCAATGCGTTTCCTCTCTCAGATGATACAGTGAAAAGCCCTCTTTCTGGAAAATCCTCCCAAAGAAACAAAAAGGGGGGAGATCGAAAATCGAGAGAGTGGTGGAGGAGCTTACGAACGGGACAGTTAGTCGTCGAGTGTCGTCCTTTTGTAGCGCGTCGTTAGTAGCCTAGTCGTTTGTCGTAATTTCGTCGTAGTTTTGTTGTCCGTAGTTTAGCCGTAAGTGTATCACCATTTATGCCAAATATATTATTCACTCTCACCATCACAAAATCCCACATTTATGAACTGTCTTTTGAAAGTAGGGTTGATGGGTGGTATGATTCCCACCCCCAATGTATACCTACACTTGATACTTTGAAATTGCACGTATGAGTGCCTTCAAAAAATAATTCCCACCCCCTATGATAGGGTTAAACTATAAGAAGGATGCAGATAACGTCAATCAAATTTTTCATTAAATTTTCATAGAATTAGAGTACATAGAAAAATATTAATTACGTGTCTCAACGTTTTTGATAATGGACCTCACCTTAATTACCTTAATGGATCGTAGAGATATCAAGCTCGAAACTTCTGCGTTAAGTATAAGAAAGTTTTCACATAAAAAAAGTATTCAGTGGCATAATGATAACGCTTTAAGCAAACATTTCGCTAAGTACGGCATTGAAAAATGGTGCTTGAACGAAAATACCCTCCGTTATGGAAGTTGTATTTTTAAGCATTATATCTATATGATTTTTTTTATTGGTAATTAATTATAGTACGCTGTTTAGAAGTTCGTTGATGTTTATTGATTTTAGTTAGGAAAGTGAGCTTGTATGAAATGAGCATTCGTTTACTGGTATAATTTATTAAATCAAAATTACGAAACTTTTTCTACCATTTTAAAAATATTCATAAATTCATTGGTATTATTATCCTGCTATTCTATCAATATGTATGCATTTTATCAATGTGTATTCTATCAATTTATCAATACAAAATTGTCAATACCGTAAATACATTCAGCACAATATTTCCATTTTTATTTTTTTTAATTTTATATAAACTCTAAATATAATATTTCATTATGTGTGCAAAAATTTGCATTCAAAATATTATTTTTTCACGTTATTTTGGCATGCATAAAAAGTTATTTTACTTTAGTCATTTGATTATAAATGAAACAATATTTACAAAAATAAATATTTTTTACAATTTCTGGAATCCTACGCAAAAATTATTTGTATGACGTACATAAAGACAATTGTAACATTTTCTTAAAGTGCTCAACTGAAAAATGTTGTTTTTCTAGTCCTTCCTTTTTATTTTCAAGGTGAAACCGAATATAAAAAGTACCTATCACACGAACGGCGACACTTTTTCCATATAATAGAACACCAGCGTATAAAGAGTACCGTGTAAAGCGAGCTACCAGAGTATTATCAATAGCAGCTTTCAGACGATCAATATTTATTGTCAATACTTCAGTTTTTATCAATCCACCTTGTCAATATTTTGAATATCAACAATATATCAATGTATTCCTACACACGTTCAATAATATTGCTCATATACACAAGGTGTTACGTTTCAATCCAAATTATGGAATATCTCATAAAGGGTTGGAGCTATCAAAAAAATGTTTCTACAAAAATTAATTCGCTTAAAAAGCCACGTTATATAATAAAAATGATTTTTATGGATGATTTTAAAATGATTTTTGTGCCAAAAATAAAGCTAAAACAATTTTTTTTAAATAACATCCTACATTTTTCTATTCATAATATTACAGCGGTTG